CCGTGTTGGAGAAGGGCCAACCTGTTAAGAAAGTAACATCATTGGCAATACAAGGAAATAACTGTCCCAGTGATTTTAGAAATCCTTAACAGCAGTCTGATTATATTGCTGCAGGAAGAATATTGAGGTTGGCAAACAGTTTTTAGACTCCACGCTGTACAATGTTGGACAATGCCATGTCTTACACTGTGATGCGCAAAATAAGGGGGGCGCAAACATTTTTCTTGTAAAACAAGGGGGGCCCAGCAAAAAAAGTTTGGGAACCACTGTCCTAGAGGTAGAGCATGCAATACTTTCAACTTCTGGCCAACCACTTTCTATTCCAAGGTAGTAGGCAACCTGTCTCAAACACTTGCGGTCTGACTTTTACCGACTGCAGTCTTTGTCAAACTGGCAAAGGTTTGCAAATAATTAGTGTTTAATTTAAAAACACAGACAGACTGTGTATTGCATTTGCACATTTTGCATTAGTCTGTGCAAAATAGCACAAGCGACATCTCTCTGCAATATGGGACTTGACACAACTGGCTGACTACTGGTTGCATTCTGGTTATTTCTATATGAAATCAAGGTTGTCCTAAAAGCAGTGTCCATTTAATATTGCAGTTCAGTTGCTCTCCTGCAGAAACTGCATCATTGAGGAGGAATTTTAGAACTTCTTTTTCATATGTATGTCATTTTAGTTGGATTTTAGTTGGAGTAGCTAATTTGAATTTCTGTGAATGTAGATGACAACACTCATCTCAATGCTTCTTCTGGGCTATATTCTCAGCAGCATATTAAACATATCAGGTCCCCATAAGGAGAATCATGTGCTAACGGCTGTCTAAATGACTCGGGTAACGTTTGTAGCATTAATCTCGTTAAAATGACATTAATGCCATAACGCCGCAAATCTCCGTTAACGAGTTACCGCAGATCGCCCCGCGCGGCTGGACGGAGTCAACACGTTAACAAGCTAACTGCTCTAACGCACTAGTTCCCACCAATTGAGCATTGCGTGGCACATCC